CACACACACACACACACACACACACACACACACACACACACACACACCCTCATCAAACATTTGCCCTGTCGCTCTCCGTTTTCACACTCTTAACACACTTGGTTGTCACCGATTTGCTTCCACACTTTTTTCACTTCATCAGAAAAATAAAAGTAAAAAATTGGAAGCCGCTCTGTCAGAGAAAACCTGAATAAAAGTATGGAGGTACCTGGATCAGCCAAAACCTGAGAAACACATCTTACTGCAACATGAAGTCTCAGGTTGTGAAAGATCAGTGTCCCGCATCCTTACGCTCATAAATGCCAGATCTCTCTCTCACACTCACACACACACACACACACACACACACACACACACAGAGCTTAGGCTTCACTGTAGGAGCCGACAACATAAACAGAGGCATGCAAAGCTTTATGTTGTCATTTATGACGTCTATGTGTGTGTGTGTGTGTTTGTGTGTGCATTTCAGTGGTAGGCACATGCGTATGCTCTTTAATGGAAATATGGCATTGATTATCTCCACAGGGTATAATGAAATAGCGTCAGCATGCAGCATCCTATATATAATCCCCGTGTGTGTGTGTGTGTGTGTGTGTGTCTCTGTGTTGCTGTGTGTGTGTGGTAGTTAATGAGAATCTGAACTGCAGCCAGACCTCCGTACACCAAATCTCTCCAGCTCACTCAAGGCTTTCAATGAGAAAAACCAAATCACCAGACATGTGGTTGGGCATGTTTACATTTCATCAATTCTAATTCTGCTTATTGACGCTTGGTTCAAATATGTCAAAAACATGAACCGCAGATTTGGTTTGCCATAAATTCTGCGATTCTTCCGTGCTTCTACAGACCTTCTGGTCCTTTTCGGCTTGAACCCGTATTAATATCTGCAGTTAAGCTTCTGTTATTGCAAACGTAACACAAGTGTAAAACTATGTCTTTGTGAAAAAATATGGATATTTGGGGGAGTTTATGGCAGTTTTATCCCCATTATTTAGACACTAACTCCAGTTCATCACAAAACATGTACCGTACTTAACTGTCAAGGAGTATGGTAAGACATTCATACTATGCAATCAGGAATCAATGAACAGCAACAGCAACCTTAAGAATGTCCCAGTCCCATCTGTGACACACTCTTACTCTGAACTGGTTTCTGATACCCCAGCCAGAAAAGATAGATATCAGTTGGGAATCTACCTTGGCTGATGACGGCCTTGCGGTTGCGTCCATCCAGGTCCGCCCTCTCGATGACATGGTGCTTCGCATCCACCCAGTACATGCGGTGGCCGGCGTAGTCGATGGTGAGGCCGTTGGGCCAGAACAGGTGTGTGTCTGCGATGACCCGCCGGTTGGAGCCGTCCATGTTAGAGTACTCGATGCGAGGTGTGTTGCCCCAGTCTGTCCAGTAGATCTTACTGAGGAGGAAAGTGGAACAGTCGGGGTTAGTTTACTTGCTGTGAAGAGGTAAGCAGATTGCTGTCAGGATTCAAGACACAGCAGATGTCGGTTATTATAAAAAGTCTCCTCTGTCCTCGACATTCATGTCCTCCTCATCATCACTCATCTGTTCTGACCGGCCTCTGAGGGAAGAGCGACGTTTGTTTTTATATTTTTCAATTATCCCATGCAAATGAGCTACCTAATAAACTGAATGAGTTTTCTAGCTTAACATTTCTCAGGGGCTTCACCTAGAATTCTGTCCTGCCACTGCAGCAAATGAAGTCGGGGATGAAAACACACTAAGCTGCTGCCCCTTTCATGAAATACTTGTTCCACACAGATGCTTGCCTATGGGCACTGCTGTGCTGCCAAACTGTAATCCCTGCTCTGCTGCTACACTGCAACTGGGACACATCCAGGGGGGATATGTATATATGAGTGTGTGTGCATTTGAAACCATCTGTAATGCATTATAGTTTGTGTGTGTGTGTGTGTGTGTGTGTGTGTGTGTGTGTGTGTGTGTGTGTAGTTGGAGTCTTACCCCTCTATGGGGTGCAGCGCGATGGCTCGGGGCTTCTCCATGTTCTGCCACAGCAGCACCTTGCGGTGCGTCCCGTCCAGGTTGGCCACCTCGATACGGGACGTCCCAGAGTCTGTCCAGTACAACTTGTCATGGATCCAGTCTATTGCCAGTCCACCTAAAGGACAAAAAAAATGTTGAACTTCTCTGAACAACTCATGTCTAATAACAGTAGTCTTTGTTAAGCTAAGCTAACAAAGACACCTTAAACTATTCCTTTAAAAGGGCACATGTCATGAAGGGAATAAGGCAGTTTAAATGGGCCTGTACATCTTAACCTGCATCCTATTTGCCGCCATACACACCTGGACTCTCCAGACCGGTGGAAACAACCTCCTCCACGTTGGAGCCGTTGAGGTTGGCCTTCATGATGCGGTCCAGCGTCACGTCGGACCAGAAGACCAGCTCGTGGCTGTGGTGGAAGTCCAGGGCAATGGCGTTCTCCAGGTTGTTGAGCAGCAGGGTGTACTCGGAGCGATGCGGCAAAACCTGACGGATGTCGATGCGGTTGGCGAACAGCAGCACAGGTTCTGGACCTAAAAGATGGAGAGACGGACAGCGATGGAAACAATGTGAGTTCTTCTTTTTCCCAAAAGACGAAAGAGATAGAAAAAGTCCGAGTATGGACCGACCGTCACTTTTAATTACAGCGAGCATTAATCTCAATGGAGGTGAAGGTCAGGGTGATGGCAGCTGCCTCACAGGCAGGCCTGGCCTGGGTTTAACTCTGGTCTGCAGCAGATTAATGGGCTGCTGTACCAGACCTGCACTCTACCTTCGCTGATCCAAATCTAGTCCAGACACGCCGAATGAGCCGACCTCATTCTGAGTAAAGACCCCGGAGCAGAGGCACGGATACAGTTACCGCTGAGGCAAGTTTAAAGACTATGCAACCGTGTTTTTATTGGAGGTCAAACCAGCGACTTCTCTGCGGTCACGTCAAGGTTGAAATAGAGTACAGTGGTTTTTACCCAGAGCTTTGCAGCTGCGCTTGTCAGGTCGGAGCTCGTAGCCCTGAACGCACCAGCACTGGAACCCCCCCTCCGAGTTGGTACAGCCCTGGCTGCAGTAGCCTTCCTCAGCACACTCGTCCACATCTGGAACGGACCACAGAGAAAGAAGACAAGAGGGGAGGGAGAGAGATGTTGGCGTCAAACTCCCGCAGGGTTAACAATGAAATCAAGACACAGAGTTAAGTGTGCAGAGGTGTTTAGAAGGTGAAACAACTCATTCACGCTTTTGGAACACATCCACGCCCCACTTCCTGTTATGCCCCTTAAAGTCTAAATTAACTTCTTGAGCTGGCAAACACACTTCTGGAAACAGATTGTGTCTCCAAAATTCTGGTTATGACTGGTGGCAGAAATCCCAGACTCAGGTCCACACCAAATTCTTATCAACAATCTCTCCGCCCAAACCTTAACTTTCAATGAAGTTCTAAGGAAATGTGTTCATTATTTTGCTAATGGGAATGAATGAACGAACACACACGCGCACACACACACACACACACACACACACACACACACACACACACACACCCTGGCAGGCTTTGCCGTCGTCCATCAGTCGGTATCCAGTGTGACAGGTGCACTGGACCAGTCCTCTGACCATCTGACACTTCTGGGAACAGCCTCCGTTATTCTGGTTACAGTTGCCCTCGCTGGAGCGTGGACCTGCTCGCCGCACAGAAACATTACAGGAACATAAACACAGCGTGCCGATTCAGTATAAATACAAACCACACGCTGTAAAAAGTATGACTCATGTGGTGTTTAGGCCTGCGAGCGGCCTAAGGCTTGAGGACGGCGATGTCGGTCAGTTTGGTGCAGGTGAAGAAAGCTGAACAAATACAGCCCAGGTCATTAAATGATTTCACTGACCTTTCCTCTAACGCCGCCATTAGGCCTAAATCTCACCTTGGCTTTTACATGCGCCCCCCGAGATTGTCAATGAATCTCAATTAGGAATCAATAACTTAAATGCTCATGTCAGTCTTCATGACATTGTTATGACAGACTTCACATTAAGTGTTATTTCAGAGTCTGTGCATGCTTTGAGGGGAAGAAAAAGGTTGAACTTTAAGACTGAAGGTCCAATCTTACACCCGGCACAAAAGCACAAAGCGGAGTGCAATGCAACAGTCATAGTAGTGCTAGTTTCAAACCATTTTCAAGCCCAGTGCCCACATTGTGCAAGTTGCAAATGTTGGCGTGTTGGTCTTAAAAAGAGATATGTTCAGGCACATTTTGTCTAAAATAGTCTTTTTCTTCTATTTGAAGGCTGCATTATTAAGTAAAGATGTTTTGTATTAAGTAAGAAAAATTCACAACATGTTTTTATCTAACGGAACATTCTTATTCATTCCATATTTGTTGGCATTTAGCCTTTGGAAAACAACATTTTCACAGCAGAAAACTGCTCCCTTCTCCAATTTGACAATGCCACCATTTATATAGCAATACGGCAGGTGGGAATGGGAGATGACACAGCGATTAGTTTTATTCATGTTGAGTCCAGAAAATACCTATGATTAATTAAGAGAATAAACACAATCCCCTTTGCGCCTTACTTTGTGCCCAGATTATGCACCGTTTAATGAGCAGAAGTGCATTCGGACACGCCCTAAATGCACTGCGCTGTAGATCTTTTAAATTGATCCCTCACGTTCAGTCTTCACACTGCAGTACAGATGCAGAGATCACATAATCTAAAGTACAGATGCAGGTGTAGCGTATCAACTCACGACAGTCGTGGTGTGGGTGTTCGTCAGTCCCGTCTCCACAGTCGTTGACCTCATTGCACACCTTCCTCTGACCGATACAGCGTCCATTCCCACACTGGAACTGATCGGGAGCACATGGTGGACTCTCTGTGGGGACATAAGATGATGCATCCCATGAGACAAGAGACAAATGTCTCCACGTTTTCCTTTTCTCCTCCGTCTGTCCCACACACAGTACGATTATTGCAACAACTCTTTATCTCCCACTCAGCACTTCACTTAAAAAAACAAAAAGGTTTTAGCTTTAAGTACATAACCAGCATTTATTAAAGGATCTTAAGTGTTTTTATTTCCTGCTAACCTCTCCTTCCACGTATGGCTGACCACCTGAGTCCATCATTACATGCAACCGTTCATTTACTTCTTATTTCTCATAGAAATTCCAGTGCAGCCAGAGAGTCCTAACATGTCAGGCTGAGCTACAGGGGCGTGTACGGATGATGAGGTGTTTGGTCTAAAAAATGACATCATGGTTTTGTCTTTTTCATTATGAAAGAAGTGCAAAAAATTTGAAAAAAATTGAAAAAATACTTTTTGATTGTTGTAAACATCATGCACAGTGATGTGGAACTCGTTTACAGTCTCATGGCTCAGGCTGTCGGTGGATAACTTTGTCTTCTCCCTGCTGCCTGTTCATTGCTCAGTTCTATCTCAATACACGGGACAGTTTCTGTAGTTTGTCCACAGGTTGGTGTTTCCACCAGCGAGGGGAACTGCCGAACTGAACGGCCTATTGTTTGAAAAGCTACCGTGTTGTCAAAAGATTAAAAAAAAAACAGAAAAGAAGAAAGTGGGTTAGTGAGTAGAGGAGGGCTGTTCTGAGCTGTTGCCATGGCTACGATCGAAGCAGGTGTTATATTTAGCTCCTGAAAAACAAGATAACAGCAACAAAACCACAGGCTCACCAGTTTTCTCACAACCCTCTTCATCGCTGCGGTCGGAGCAGTCGGGCTCGCCATCACACCTCCAGGACAAGCGGACGCAGCGTCCAGTACCGCAGCGGAACTGCTCAGCCGTGCACATGGACGTGGCTGCAGGACACACACACACACACACACACACACACACACACACACACACACACATTTTATTCATTCATTCTTAGCTCAGGTGATTTGAGATATTCTCAGTGCGATTGCCTTGTTCGCATGAAGTCAGATAAAAGGCTGAAACTGAAAGAGACAATCCCATGAATAAGGAATGAAGAAGTAAACAAACAAACGTTTAGATGCACAACTCTATACAGAGCATGTGTTTGCTTGATCATTGTGACGAAAGCGGCTACTCACTGCAGTTCTTCTCGTCTGATTGGTCGTCACAGTCGAATTCGCCGTCACACCTCCAGCCGGCGTTGATGCACATCCCGCTGCTGCACATGAATTCAACTGATCGGCAGGGCTGGTGGGAAGCTACACGCACACGCACACGCACACACACACACACACACATACACACACAGAATAACATCAGAAACATGACAGCCACAGCAGGCAACACAGCTGTAATATAATTAAGCAATCGTTCACAACAAGCCGTGTTATGTTGTGATTATTTCACAGCTGATGGCCGTTGTTTGGCCGCCGGCAAAGCTATTGTTTCCGTAAAATGGTCATGAAGTATGGCGATATGAAAGCTATAGACACATTCCAATTTAAATAGCTTTTTATAAATAATGAATAAATAGGCCCTCCTGGGCTGGCTGCACATACCGAGGCGGTTATTATGGAACAGCTGATGCTATGAAAGGTACAGTAGCATGTTTCTTCTTTCATCACAGGCTAGTCTTAAATTGATTTCATTATTTAGCTATGTATTTACATTATTTGTATGTTGCCATTTGTTGCTCAACCACTGGAAAAACTGTCCAGCCTCAGTGTGAAGATTTTGATATCTGCTTGTACGAGAAGTTAACCCGAAAACGTTTCCTTTTTGTGGAGTTCCCCGTTGAATCTTTCTATCTATCCAAGAGGAACCAAGCGGATCAGCTCTTAACGCTTGGAGAACAAGTGTGAAGTGCAAGAAAAACCATGACATGTATTGCTGCTCTCACAGACTGTGTCTGCCTGTTGATTGGTGCAGCACTGTGTCGGTTTTCTCTCGCTACTGTGGTCTGTTCGGGTCGACCACATTTTGGATCGGGTCCAATTATCCTCGGGTCTATTGAGATCAGGTCACCGGCTCTATGGTTTTTTTGGAAAATAATTCATGCACATAGGATTCAGGTAGGTTTTCCACAAGCCACAATCAGATTCTACCTATGCACCTGTGAAGTCCTTCAGTAAAAGGTTGAAAGTCATATTGTCATATGCACAGAGAACCAGCAGCTTATGATGATATTATTCGTTGTCTGTTCACTCTGATTTCTGTCCATAAAAAGTGCAAAAAGTGCAAAAAGTGCAAAGATACAGTGTTTTCAACCAGTGATATTTCCGTCCCCATAGACATTAATTGCTTGGATATTTTGGATGCCGTGTGATCATTTCTGCTGGTGATCATAGCTGTCCCACCTTTACATCCCCCCGCATCTCAACATGAGCTCAGATCAAAGTGATCGGATCAAACTGGCAGCAGATGAGGACGGAGGAGGACGAGGAAGATTAAAGCTGAATCACACTTAAGCATCTTAAAAACCAAAGTGTGTGTGTGAGCGCGTTGTGCGTGTACGCCTTGGACATGTTTCCTCCTGACAGCATGAGACGGCTCCCATCAAAAGCTACGGTGGGCGTGAGATAAGGGACGAACAAAAACGACAAACGAGGGGAACGCAGAGGGAGGAGAGGCAAGAAGAAGGGGGAAAATGAAAGAGATGTTGTGGCGCTTCAAGCAGCGGGCTTATCAGCCGGACCAGCGAAGAGAGGGGGACGATCAAAACGGCAGGTGGCTCTCCCACAGAAGAGGAAGAGGGAGAGAGAGGGAGAGAGTGAGAATTATAAGGTCAGAATCAGCGTGGGACGCCGATGAACACAGCGACGCCCACACACACTCAAATGATTCATCGACCCTTTATCTCACTCCTTGTGTGTCTCTCTCTCTCACACACACACTCTCTCTCTCTCCCCCTCTCTCTCCCCCTCTCTCACACATTCACTCGCTCTCACACATACACACACACACAGCAACGATGCTCTTTCATCTGCTCAGCTATGCAGCCGAAAGCAGTATCGGTGTCCGCAAGCGGTAACGAGGCATGCAGAGTGTTTTTGGATGTGCGCATTCACATAAGGGAGCGGGAGGGAGGCAGAGAGAGGGTTCTTCTCTAACAAAGCTCCCTTCATGTGTCTGGAGAGTCGATGCCAAGGAATGCTGTCCGAGGACGGGCCCTCTTATGCCTCTGAGGAAGGCCTCCTCTGTGTGTCCACAAACTATCTGTATGTTTCGGAAAGACGTCTTCAGACTTTTTTTAATTTAAATTTTTTTTTTTTTTAAATACTAACAATCTCAACACAGTCATTGCTGGTCAGAAATGACAGATGAGACAGCAGGAAATGGACAGTTCCGGGGACTTGAGGTCCAGCTGGCTTCAGGACGTGAGACAGGATGTAGATTGATCTATTAACCTTGTTGGTTTTTTAAATTCAAAGTGAACATGCAGCGCACAGAATCCTGTCTTTGCTGAGAGAAAAAGTATCCAACAAGATTAAAAGACCCACAAACAATAGAGTGATGATTCATTTGGATCCGATATGTGTGGCAGCGTTTTCTCTGCACACTTATTTGAAGTATTTTTAGAACCTCCTGACTCTTCTTTTTTTACTTCTTTTTGTGCCAGCTCAACTTCCCAAAAAGAAAAGTCAAACACTTCAGAAGCGAGGCAGCAATTAAAAAACCTGGACGTGGGAGGAGACGAGGGGAGAAACTTGAAGCAGCTCGGCCGACTGACATGACCAAACAATGTTACAGAACCTTGAAGCTGTGCTTATCGCCCTGCAGACAAACACATCACAGGGGGAAACCACTGTTTGTGAGCATGCAGCGTCTCAGGAGCGAGGAGAGCGAAACATGATAGTCAGTGTTAATCAGGACCGTGGCTTCACACTGTGTGTGTGTGTGTGTGTATATCTGTGTGTGTGTGTGTGTGTGTGTGTGTGTGTGATACAGTGACAGGATAAAATCTAACAGGCAGTTTTGACAGATGCTGTGGAGCGGCGGCACGCAAAAAAAAACAGCTGTTCGTGAGCGCAAACTGACGTCACCTGACCGAGAATACGGGAAATCAAACCCTGTCTGTTAAGATCCCTTTCAGATGCATTTCTCTATAATATCAAGTATCTATGACTAAAAGGGCGAAGTACTCAAAATCCTTTAAAACCCTTTGCTTCATAAAGACTGTGTGGGTGTCTGAAGCTGATCCAGCTTCTCTCTTCCTATTTTCTCTGTTTTATGTCACAGACACTTATATCTTATATCTTTTGGGTTTTTTGGACTGTTTGATGGACAAAACAGCAACTCAACGATGTCCTTAGGCCGACAGAACTCGCAATGGGCATTTTTCAGAAATTTCTGACATATTACAGACTAAACAATTAATCAGTGGATACAGAAAAAAAGTAATCAAATAGGGTTAATCAAATACGGCCCAAATTTTTCAAGTGGCAGTGTAGAACATTTGGTTGCGCCTGGCACATTCCAACTCCACTATTCCATCATATACTCAACTTCATTATAGCATATCTAAATGAGTTTGCCTATTCGCTGCCTTGCACTAAATTGCGGAATCGCGGTATTACATATCACATGAAACTCCTTTTTGTCAGGCTTCAAGTCGTTTTCTCCCTTTTTGTCGATGGAGAAGATGTTTTCGCTCTTCTCTTCTGGCTTCGGTAAGAGTTTGATTGACAGATGGTTCATCCAATCACCTGCCAAGAATTTTTTATTTTTTTTTGAAGTGCTTGCCCTTTTCCAAATTGTTTCCAATGACGGCATCTCAGACGGTTCTGCGTAACTGTGAAATGTACATGCATACTGAATGGCAATTTGTTCTATCAAAACTGTTTTATTAGAATGAAACGGTAATATAATAAAAAGCCTAAATGTGGATGTCCTGTTCAGATGAGCCTATAATGTACTTTAAGTTGAAGGACATGAGGACGACTTGTTGTTTTGGGACACATGTGCAGCGGTGCCGTTGGGGTACATGGAGGGAGAAAGTGAAGCAGAGAAGAAGAAGGGCCGCCTGCCAGAGGGAGAGAAGAAACTTTACTCTCATCTGACGGCACGACAGATGACTGATCCCCAGAGGAGCTTCGTCGTCTCCTCCTGCACAAGAACGCCGTTTAGTGAGAGCCAGGAGCGCTGCCGAGGATCACACAGAGGGGGGGGGGGGGGGGGTGTGTGTGTGTGTGTGTGTGTGAGGCAGCAGCTCGCTGTAAGCTTTACACCAGCAGGACAGGCTAGATCAGTCACTCCACTGTAGTCCATCTTCAAATTTAGGATGTTTTCTGAGGTGAGACAAATTTTGCCAAATCTGTCCTCCTGCCCAGAGTTAGCATTAAACTGGAGCTTGCAATTAGGATTAAGTTTTGACCGCAAAATATCTGAATGAAAATGGGTTCTATGCCAACTATTAGCATGATGCCATGGAGTTTTGGGCAAAAACATGCAGTTTTTTTTTGTCTGCAGTGAAAATGTGTTATTTTCGCCTTTTCTAAAATTGGTGTATTTGAATATTTCTAAACGCAACAAGTCATGGATTTGCATGAATTGGGTATGACTGGAAAGCTGAGAATCTTTTGTATTCAATGAGCTCAATTGTATTCGTGTGTGATGATGTGTTAATCCCCATAGTAGCCATTTGAGACCAGTGTATAAAATTACCTTTTGTGACCTTAAGGATGATCACAGCCTCATGAAACTTACCAACTACAAACAGTTAGGGCGTTCAGAGGATGAATAACTTTCCCAGCTATATTGACAATAAGGTTTCTGAGCAGTTTTCAGAAGAGAAGTTCTCGCCATCCAACTGCCAACTGTGGTGTTCCTCAAAGTCTTGGTGTCTCATTTTTCTTTTGAAGTTTGAAGTTAACACCTAAACTCATAATGTTGGAAATAGGCTTGCGAGCGAGCGACGGAGAACTTACAGCAGTCAGACTCGTCCGACCAGTCTCCGCAGTCGTCGTCTCCGTCACAGTGGTAGATGTCCAGGATGCAGCGTCCGTACGCACACTGGAACTCCTCCACGCTGCAGGTGGCTGCCATCACATCTGAGGCTGCACAGACACACACACACACACACACACACACACACACACAAACACACAGACCGAGACATGTTAAACAGATGCTGGAAAAGATGTCGCAGCAGCCGGCCGTCGGGAGGCTCTTTGAAGCTTCCCCTCCTCTCTGCTGAGTCTGTCAGAAACTATCCATGAAATTAAAGAGAGGCTCAGCTCTCTATTAAGACAGTGAACATGTGTACATGCTCTGCGGTAATCCAGTGGCTGTAAGATGTCAGCTCACATGCAGCCAGTCAGTCGCCAGATTTGTCCCCTTCTTGCAGTAATAGTTTGGAATCATGAGGCTGCAGCCGGAGGAGTCCGGAGACAACAGACTCTCTTGTGATGTTTACTATAACGTACTGTTCAGATGTGGAAACACACTGCTTGATGGGCTGACAGCCTTTTGGTGGCTTTTTGTTTGTTTGTTTTTAGCTATAGCCAAATCATGTCTCTGAATTGACCCAATTATAAAATGACATTCTTGTGTTTACGCTCTCTAGAGAAAGACACACCCACTTGTTTCAGTAATCAAAACCATGTAGAGTAAGTATTACCTCATAACAATCATTTGTGGAGTGAGACATTGATCAAACCGTTATTTTAGGCCTCGTGTTATGAAAGCCTCATGTTGCATTGTGTTTTTGTGTAATTTTAGTGTTTTAAAGAGTTCGCTCGTATTCACCAAAGTCACACAATAACAAACTAACCGAACGTGTCAGCGGTAGAACAGAAACTTCCATGTTCTGCAAGGTGAAAAGAGTCAATGGACTCTGGTGTCTTTGAAGGGACCATACATAATGGCTTCAGTCCCCCGTCGGAAAGCGCTGTCTGATGGCACCGTAAAGTGGTGAGAATATTCTAAATATAGAGTAAACTTAAACTGGTGTCGATGTTTTTTTTTAGGTGTGCCTTTTTGTGGGTGGCTAAAATACGGGTACTCACGACAGTTTTCCTCGTCCGATCCGTCCTTACAGTCCGTGTCTCCGTCACAGTACCAGTGCTCTGCGATACAACTGCCATCTGTACAGCGGAACTCCTTGTCCGAACATTTGCGCATGTCTGTTATGGCGAGAAAAACAAAAAACAAACTCACAGGTCATATTCAAAAGACGGTGTCAAAGAACATGTGCATGCGTGATAGTGAACGCGAGTGTGTGCAGGTGTGTGTGTACCCACCACACTGTTCATCGCTGTTGTCCCCGCAGTCGTTGTCTCCGTCGCAGTGCCAGAGGCTGCGAATACAGTAGCCGTTTTGGCAGTGAAACTCGTCCTCCTCACACTCTCGGGGAGCTGCAGAGAGAAGAGGTTTCATGTAATGAGGATACAACAAAAGCAAAGAGCGGGTACGGTACAAGAGTGTGGCGAGACGAGGCCCGTCCTGGAGAGCTGCGGACATTATATCTACAGCCGCACTGACAGAAGGGAAACTGTGGCCCTTCATGTCGGGCTCTAATTGAGATCTGCCTCTCTCTCCGTAAACAGGCTGAACTCTCCCGAGGCTGCAGGTCTAGAGCTCAAAGATCCACAGACGGAATATCCTGCCGTACGATCGACAGCCACTGCAACTCCAGGATGAGGAGGTCAGAGGAAAGTCATACTGCAGCATTTGTGGCTGTGTTCACAGTCACAGTTTATTTATACAGCACTTTTCCAAGACTTAACAACGGATGGTTACAACGGATGCCAACCGTGACAAACTTCCATGGGAAAAAAGAAAAACATAATACATCCATATAGAAACATCTCAGACCACAACTGAAGCATTATCCACAGCTTCTATATGTTCCAACCGCTTGAAGTTGCGCCCAAACAGACTAAATCCACTGCATCTAATTCAATCCTCCACACACAAAAAGGCAGTTTATCTTTTGGTCAGAAAAAAAAAAAAAAAAGCTTAAAGTTCAACTGTGTCAGAAGCCTCAACAGCCTCCTCCCACATGTTCACCACGCGCTTCATGGAGGAGCTGCATCCGACAATTTCTGTAACTTTCCGAAAGCGACAACAAAAGACATTCACGTGCACTTTGCGCAGCCATTAGTGCATGTGAGCGGAGATTTATATTTATATTTTTCACACAGTGACGACTGTTCTACCTGTCTCTAAGTGTGGTTGTTAGCCATGGAAACTTCCGCCTTCAGATGCAGTCAGGAAACACGTTGTAGAAACTACTTCATGTTGAGTTGTGACGTCTGAAAATATCTTGCTTCACTATGCTGTCACAACTCTTTAAAAACAAGTTTGACAAATCTAGATGTTGAAAGTCTGTAATTTGCTGTAATTGTCAAAGATATGGCTGTCTAGAACATATCACAAATCTAAACGTTCTCCGTCTTGCACAAGTGAAAGGTTTAAGATGAGGTGGAGGGCACGCTATTAGTCGATTCTCTGACATTTCGACCACGATTATGACTGCAGACATCAGAAGCTGCTGGAAGAAGCATGCAAAGGAGGATCAACATTCTTCTTCGCATGCGTCAGTCCACCATATCTCAACTCTAGACAGTAATTGTCCATTTACATGTATGACGTTTCTGTCATTTTCAGAGAAGGATAAGCTGTATAATAAAAAGCTTAACCCACAGTTCCTTTTCAATTGTAAACCAGCTGGATTGAGGAGTGGCTTAATCTACCGAAGATGAGTTCCAGCAGCTGCTTGTATGTCTTCATTAAACATCCTGGCTGCTGTAAGTTAGAAAATGTTGTTTCACTAGACAGCTAACCTTGAGGCTGAAGATAAAAAGGCACGTTTGTCATTCATGCCAACAGTCGTGACGATGCAGTTGGACAGAAGACTTTCTGCACTGTGACATTGTTTCAGTCTCCAACCCTTTCATTTATCCAAACAACTCCTCCACCTTGCCTCTTTAATCACGCCTCCAATGATAACGGACTGAATGGATTTTCTACTGTAACCGCCGCAATCGATGGGCGAAACACAGCCGCGCTCGCCACAGGCCGAGTAAACAGGTCCGTCAAGGAGAGCCAGTGATGGATGGCCCCTGGCGGGAGGTGATCTATAATTTATCGCTGCCCTGTGTGAGCGTTGGACAGCGGAGACAAACAGGGAGAGATGAGGGAGTGACAGAGGGATACCCACGGAACAGAGGGGCAGGCCGACAACCAGATGGAGCGTCGCAGTGAGATTTTAAAAATCTTTTCTGATGCGTCACGGCACGAGTGCTGGAGACGGACTCCACTGCTGAGATGTGACAGGAGGTCCCAGAGCCTGTGTGTGTGTGTGTGTGTGTGTGTGTGTGCGTGTGTGTATGTGTGTGTGTGTGTATCACAGTTTAGAGCTAAAATGGATAGCTAAAATTCAAAATGTAGTTTTTTCTGGACTATGACTATAACTTGAGAATGTATGTATTGCAATTGAATCTGCCAGGATAAAGTATATACACATACGACGTATCCGTGATACGCTAGTATTGTCCAGTGTATCAGCCGGGAACATTTATCGCTCTACGTTCAAGAGCCTCAGCTAACCTCTCCCACATCGACCTCCCCTCAGCCAGAATGCCCTCCCCCCTCCAAGAAAAAGGATTTAAAGCCACAAAAGCCCATCGGTGGGTCCAAATGATATTATAATTGTAAGCACACTATGGACAAATACACTCATTTCATATTCAACTTGTAAGAAAATAATTGATTTTCTCCCTCTCTCTGTCTCTCCCGGGCTCTCTCAGAGAGGTAAACAGAGAAAGGTCAGAGGTCAACAAGCCCCGAGGACGCTCATCATTCACACAGCGGCCAAACGTCAAAGGGCAAAGGGTGCTGGGAGTCATTACCAGGCTCCCTGAGCATGCGTGTGGTGAAACGGTGTCATGTTATTTTCTTTTCTTTTAAACTTCAAGAATTCAGAACATCTCGTGTTCAACCCCACCGAGGCACACCTCGGTCTCCGTGTTTGTCTGAAAAATCTTGACAACTACTTCGGTTCCAGCCGAGCGTGGAGGATTGTCTGCCCGCCTCTAAATAATGAAATAACACCACTGCATCGCGGAGAGCAACGAAATATATCGGGAGGTGAAAGACGGACCGGGGTGCAAAACAAAATAAGGAGAAAGAAAGACGCATGAAATAATAAGCAGTTCGGGGAACGGG